CGGGGCTGCCATCCGGATTACCCACAAATATCTATCAGTAAAACAAGACACAATAAACAAACGTTGAAGGACATCTAGAGACAGCATGAAGAACGTTCCTCCCATGTACCCCATCATATCAAGGTTCAAAATCCATCCAATACATCACTTTGTAATCGAATATATTTTGTAACAACATATTGTAACGGCCCTGATAATTATATATTGATGAATCTTTCCCTACTTACCAATAAAGCAGAAGGACCCCCAGATCAGAGAGGAGACCCTCATCCCAGACACTGATGAAGAGAGGGACCCCATATCAGAGAGGAGACCCTCATCCCAGACACTGATGAATAGAGGGACCCTGATCAGAGAGGAGACCCTCATCCCAGACACTGATTAATAGAGGGACCCCAGATAAGAGAGGAGACCCTCATCCCAGACACTGATGAAGAGAGGGACCCCAGATCAGAGAGGAGACCCTCATCCCAGACACTGATGAATAGAGGGACCCAGATCAGAGAGGAGACCCTCATCCCAGACACTGATGAATAGAGGGACCCCAGATCAGAGAGGAGACCCTCATCCCAGACACTGATGAATAGAGGGACCCCAGATCACAGAGGAGACCCTCATCCCAGACACTGATGAATAGAGGGACCCCAGATCACAGAGGAGACCCTCATCCCAGACACTGATGAAGAGAGGGACCCCAGATCACAGAGGAGACCCTCATCCCAGACACTGATGAAGATAAGAGGGACCCTCACCAGATGAGAGAGAGGGACCCCACCCCTCATCCCAGACACTGATGAATAGAGGGACCCCAGATCACAGAGGAGACCCTCATCCCAGACACTGATGAAGAGAGGGACCCCAGATAAGAGAGGAGACCCTCATCCCAGACACTGATGAAGAGAGGGACCCCAGATCAGAGAGGAGGAGACCCTCATCCCAGACACTGATGAAGAGAGGGACCCCATTAAGAGAGGAGACCCTCATCCCAGACACTGATGAATAGAGGGACCCCAGATCAGAGAGGAGACCCTCATCCCAGACACACTGATGAAGAGAGGGACCCCAGATCAGAGAGGAGACCCTCATCCCAGACACTGATGAAGAGAGGGACCCCAGATAAGAGAGGAGACCCTCATCCCAGACACTGATGAATGAGAGGGACCCCCAGATCAGAGAGGAGACCCTCATCCCAGACACTGATGAAGAGGGACCCCAGATCAGAGAGGAGACCCTCATCCCAGACACTGATGAAGAGAGGGACCCCAGATCAGAGAGGAGACCCTCATCCCAGACACTGATGAAGAGAGGGACCCCAGATCAGAGAGGAGACCTCATCCCAGACACTGATGAATAGAGGGACCCCAGATCAGAGAGGAGACCCTCATCCCAGACACTGATGAAGAGAGGGACCCCAGATCACAGAGGAGACCCTCATCCCAGACACTGATGAAGAGAGGGACCCCAGATCACAGAGGAGACCCTCATCCCAGACACTGATGAAGAGAGGGACCCCAGATCAGAGAGGAGACCCTCATCCCAGACACTGATGAATAGAGAGGGACCCAGATCAGAGAGGAGACCCTCATCCCAGACACTGATGAAAGAGGGGACCCCAGATCACAGAGGAGACCCTCATCCCAGACACTGATGAAGAGAGGGACCCCAGATAAGAGAGGAGACCCTCATCCCAGACACTGATGAAGAGAGGGACCCCAGATAAGAGAGGAGACCCTCATCCCAGACACTGATGAAGAGAGGGACCCCAGATCAGAGAGGAGAGACCCTCATCCCAGACACTGATGAAGAGAGGGACCCCAGATAAGAGAGGAGACCCTCATCCCAGACACTGATGAAGAGAGGGACCCCAGATCAGAGAGGAGACCCTCATCCCAGACACTGATGAATAGAGGGACCCCAGATCAGAGAGGAGACCCTCATCCCAGACACTGATGAAGAGAGGGACCCCAGATAAGAGAGGAGACCCTCATCCCAGACACTGATGAATAGAGGGACCCCAGATAAGAGGAGAAGGACCCCTCATCCCAGACACTGATGAATAGAGGGGACCCAGATCAGAGAGGAGACCCTCATCCCAGACACTGATGAAGAGAGGGACCCCAGATAAGAGAGGAGACCCTCATCCCAGACACTGATGAAGAGAGGGACCCCAGATAAGAGAGGAGACCCTCATCCCAGACACTGATGAAGAGAGGGACCCCAGATCAGAGAGGAGACCCTCATCCCAGACACTGATGAAGAGGAGACCCTCATCCAGACACTGAGGACCCCAGATCAGAGAGGAGACCCTCATCCCAGACACTTGATGAAGAGAGGGACCCCAGATCAGAGAGGAGACCCTCATCCCAGACACTGATGAAGAGAGGGACCCCAGATAAGAGAGGAGACCCTCATCCCAGACACTGATGAAGAGAAGGAACCCCAGATCACAGAAGAGCCCTCAGTCCAGAGACAGATGAAGAGAGAGGGACCCCAGATCACAGTGGAGCCCCTCATCACAGACACTGATGAAAGAAAGGAACCCCAGATCACAGTGGAGCCCTTCATCCCAGACTATGATGAAGATAAGAGAGGGATCCCAGATCACAGTGGAGCCCTTCATCCCAGACATGATGAATAGAGGGACCCCAGATCACATTGGGGCCCTTTATCCCAGACTATGATGAAGAGAGGGACCCCAGATCACATTGGGGACCCCTTTATCCCAGACTATGATGAAGAGAGGGATCCCAGATCACAGTGGAGCCCTTCATCCCAGACACTGATGAAGAGAGAGGGACCCCAGATCACAGAAGAGTGCCTCAACCCAGACTATGATGAAGAGAGGGACCCCAGATCACAGTGCAGCTCTTCATCCCAGACACTGACTGAAAGAAAGGACCCCAGATCACAGAAGAGTGCCTCAACCCAGACTATGATGTAGAGAGGGACCCCAGATCACAGAAGAGCACCCTCAACCCAGACACTGATGAAGAAAGGGACCCCAGATCACATTGGGGCCCTAATTCTTAGCACTCTTAAACAGAAGAAGACCACATTGTGGGGGATCCCCTCATGCTATAGCACTCTGAACCCTAATATTTATATATATTAATGAATCGTCCCCTACTTACCAATAAAGCAGAAGGACCCCCAGATCAGAAAGGAGACCCTCATCCTGGACAATGGCGCACAGACGGACCCCAGAAGATGGCGGCACCCCTCCGACACTGATGAACGGTCACTGTGCTGGTGTGAAGTGAGAGCAGAAAGGGGAACCTCATTTCTAAGTGTCAAAAACCAATTATTTGAGGTGTGAAAACCTCCATGTTGGCTTCCTGTTTGTTGGTGACATTGTCAGATGTTCAGTGGGGGTCAAATCCAGACACTGTATGATATCGCAGCGGAGTAAGTGAGACTGCATGGTGTATAGCTTGCAGTGTCACCACAGAGAGTAAGGGGGAGGGGAGGGTGGCTGAGGGAGAGAGGAACAATGAGAGAAACAGGGAGACAGGACGGACTATTAAAAAAAAATGAAATCCTAGCAAATCTCTTCCTGGTGTCAGGAAATGAGGGAAAATCTCCCCAGCAGGACCCCCCCCCCCCTCCAGGGTTTATCCCTTCATCTCTCTATAAAAAAAACTAAAAAATGTTTTAGCTGGAGTTGGGCTTTAACACAAAAATCTGCAAACCTGCCGCCATCTACAGCTCAGATCAGGAACTGCAGTGTGACTGATAAATATGAATGATATCAAATTCATAACTCGGCACTTATATTATATTGATGGCAAACTTGTAAAATATTTGTTTTTTATGATGAATCATCATTAATATTAATATGTGTGAATTGGACAAATGATAGGATACATTTCTTCAGTTCTAGCTGAGACACAATAATAGGAGAGGAGTTATAGGCTGAGTATTCTATGGCAGGCAGAGCTGGTTGGAGGACTCTGGTGATGTCACGGAGTAACCACAAGTATTACGTCACGTCTTCTAATAGTATCTGCGGGGATTTAGTTTGATTTATAAGTCGGTAATATTGTTCCATCCGTAGATTTGTGGTTCTACATTATTGAGATGCTGTGAAGATACATTCTTAACCACTTGCCGTCCGTCTGCTGTTTATAAACGGGCGGACGGTGGGCACTCCAGGGGCGGGTTGCCATTCATAAACGGCACCCGCCATTTTTCTAGCCGGGAGCACGCACCACCGCGATCCAGTGCCCGCTGTGTCCTCCGGACACAGTGAAACACCGATCGTCGGACGGGACCTCTGTGCAAAGGGCCCGATCATGTGATCACTGATTGGCCAATCAGTGATCACATGCAAAGTAGTAAGCAAGATGTGACTTGTGACATCATTGCTTGCAACGTGTGAAATCTGTGAATGATCACCGAGATCACATGGTACAGGGCCATTCACAACAGCCTTGTACCATGTGACAAGCTGTGACCAATCACAGCTCTCACAGTAGTTCTCAATGACTGCAAGAATGCAGACAGAGAGAAAGAGAAATGATTGATGTTACATCCTATATGGGTGTAAAAGCAATCACTGTAAAAAAAAGAAAAAAATCTTTCATCACCCCCCCACAAGTAGTACAGTGTCACCATGGCGACCCCGCACTGCTAGGGTGACAGTATGTAGAAAAAAAAAAAATAATAATAAAAAAAAAAAAATAAAATAAAAAAAAAATGTAAAAAAAAAGTTTAAAAATTAAAATTTTTTGAATTATAAACTAATTTGGCTTATTTTTTTTTTTTTTTTTACAAAAAGATAACAGAATACATTTTGGCCGAGATTTATGATGAAAGATTATTTGCAAACTTTTATAAGAAAAACACTTTTTTTTTTTCCAAATTTTTGGACCTTTCATTTACATAGCAAAAAAAATAAAAATCCCAGCAGTGAATAAATACCAAGAAAATAAAGCTTTATCTGTCTCAAAAAATGGTAAAAAATTCATATGAGTACAGTGTTGCATGACCGCGCAATTGTCATTCAAATTGTGATAGCGCTGAAAGCTGAAAATTGCCCTGGGCAGGAAGGGGGGAAAGTGTCCGGACTGGAAGGGGGGGGAAGTGTCCGGACTGGAAGGGGGGGAAGTGTCCAAACTGGAGGGGTAAAAGTGTCCGGACTGGAAGGGGGTAAAAGTGTCCGGACTGGAAGGTGGGGAAAGTGTCCGGACTGGAAGGGGGGAAAGTGTCCGGACTGGAAGGGGGGGAAAGTGTCCGGACTGGAAGGGGGGGAAAAGTATCTGGACTGGAAGGGGGGGAAGTGTCCGGACTGGAAGGGGGGGGAAGTATCTGGACTGGAAGGGGGGGGGGGTAAGTGTCCGGACTGGAAAAAACCGGGAAAGTGTCCGGACTGGAGGGGGGGGAAGTGCCCGGACTGGAAGGGGGGGAAAATGTCCGGACTGGAAATTAGGGGGGAAAGTGTCCGGACTGGAAGGGGGTGAAAGTGTCCGGCCTGGAAGGGGGGGAAAGTGTCCGGACTGGAAGTGGGGGAAAAGTGTCCGGACTGGAAGGGGGGGAAAAAAAACCGTCCGGACCTGGAAGGGGGGTGAAAGTGTCTGGACTGGAAGGGGGGAAAGTGTCCGGACTGGAAGGGGGGGAAAGTGTCCGGACCCCCCCCCCAAAGGGGGTGAAAGTCCCCACCCCCCCCCCCCCACCCCACCCACCCCCCCCACACACCCACACCCACCCCCCCACCCCCCCCCCCCCACCCCCCCCCCCCCCCCCCCCCACAACACCAACCCACCCAACACCACCCCCCCCCCCACCACACCCACACCACCCCACCCAACCACACACCCCACCACACCCCCACACACACACCCCCCCCCCAAACACACAACAACAACCCACACACACACCACACAAACCCACCCCACACCCCAAACCCCACACACACACCACAACACCACAAACACCCCACACACACAAAACACCCACCCACACCCCCACCCCCACACACCCAACCCCCACACCCCCCCCCCCCACCCCCCCCCCCCACCCCCCAACCCACACACACCCCCCCCCCCCCCCCCCCCCCCCTCCCACCCCCACACCCCCCCCCCCCCACCCCCCCCCCCCCCCCCCCCACCCCACACCCAACACACCCCCCACCCCCCCCCCCCCCCCCCCCCAAACACACCACAACCCACAAAACACACCCCCCCCAAACCCCCCATACCCCACACACCCCACACCCCCCCACCCCCCCACCCCCCCCCCCATACCCCCACCCCCTCAGGCCAATGATGGGAAATTTGTAGACATCTACAGCTCAGATCAGGTATTCCAGTTTAAATGTGTGAGTTTAGCGAGCGCACCAATAAAAAGCTGCTGATGCACAAAAAGGAACCACAAAGCCTTTCTAAGAATATGACATGAAAATAGGATGTGCAGCGCTATATAAATAAAACACACTGTCTAAAGTATGACAAAATATGACAGAAATGGAAAAATCCCATAAACTGGATGTTAAACAGTCCAAGGTAATATAATATCAGTCCAAAAAGGTATATTCCAGTGATGGAGTATAAATGACTTCAATCCAAATGGGTATATTCCAGCATCCTAACATGAAGGTGTAGAAAAATTGCCCACTCACCGGAAGTGCAATTTAATGTGCACATAGAAATTCCATGAAGCCGGAGGTCCCATGAAGGTATAGCCTGATGATAATGGTGCCCTCTGGTGGTGGATAGGGTGACGGCTGCCAGAGAAGTTGATCTGGACCAATTTCCCAAATTGTCCTGCCTGGGTGGACTCCTAGAATGCTGGGCTGAGATGTGGAGGCTCAGTGCCAGGTAGTAGAGATGAGAACGCTCATAGTGTAGTATTATAAAAAGTATTTATTGAGTATATATCATTAAGATAAAACAGTAAACGTACAGGGTTAGAGTACCTATACAGGGTCAGAGTACCTATACAGGGTCAGAGTACCTATACAGGGTTTTAGAGTACCTATACAGGGTCAGAGTACCTATACAGGGTTAGAGTACCTATACAGGGTTAGAGTACCTATACAGGGTTGGAGTACCTATACAGGGTCAGAGTACCTATACAGGGTCAGAGTACCTATACAGGGTTAGAGTACCTATACAGGTATGGTGTAAATGAGCTCTTTAAATACACTGACCAGTGAATATGAATGATGGCCACCAGACCTCCTGATCCGGTGGCGTGACGTCAAGGCGTGCAGAGGCTCCTCCTAGACGCGCTTCGTGTAATAACACGTCTCCTGTAGGGGTGATGCCATGCATGCCTGACGTCTCCTTACTGCTATTTGTAGCCTAAAAAAATGCGCCAAAAAGTGTCCTGGCGCCGTTCTGCCGTTTTTTTCGGCCTATTGCGCATGCGCGGGTGCCATTTTGCCGGCTATTTGGCCTCGTGCGCATGCGCGGGCGCCATGTTATCGGTGATATTGTGAACATCTAAAAAAATGGTTGGCGCGCGGTACACTGCGCATGCGCGAGAGTTCCGGCGGCCATTTAATTGGTTTTTGAAAGCTTGCTGCCGACGTTCAACTGCGCATGCGCGAGCCGAACGATCGCAGCTAAAGCTAAAGAACAGTCTAGGTGGTATCATACTGAACTGATGGCCAGTATGTATCACACCTAGCAAATGGACAATGACAGGATCACTGTAGTGATGGATACAAACCCCTAGCAGGTGTACCAATAAAAAAGTATGAAAAAATATGTATATAGGAATGTGCATATAAAAAGGGGGAAGCTTATGCTTCAATTAAAAGGTGGTCGCCATTTTATTGGGGATCTGAAATGAACCCGAGCAATTGGCAGGCATAAAGTCTCCCCACACATAAATAAACAGATATGTGAATGGAAAGACTATATCCTGGTGATGATCAGTAAATACTTAGCATATTGTCTTAAAAAATATATCCATATACCCCTAGTAATAATAATAATAATATATTAAGTCGATATGGCTATAATACTCAATGGATCATATAAAAAAAAACCCTATAAAAAATCATATGAAAAATATATATATAGCACATAATAATAGTGAATGGATATTTAAATACTAAAAAAATACTGAAAAAATCATGTAGACATAATAACTTAAACAAGTATTGTTATGATCGCATGGTTAAAAAACACTAAATGAATCATGTGGACATCTATCTAGTATGCGTCCCTTTCGCCAAAAATGGGTCGTTACTACATATGTACGTGCAGTGTGTCAGAAAAAAGACCTTTCTCATAGTGCAGGGAAATATATATACTATGCCAGATCAGCTATTATCTATATAACAGTTGATGTCCACTTCAACATTATGTCCTAAAGGGACCATGGATTTCATTTCGAAAATCCATTTCGTTTCTAGACGTGAGACTTGTCTTGATTTATTAATGCCGCGCCGGTGATGTTGTGCAATATCAATCCCCATAAATTTAAGGGAAGAGGGATCTTTATGATGAAATTCCTTATAATATTTTGAAAGTGAGTGCTCACGGAACCCTCTTTTGATATTGTATACATGGTCGCGGAACCGGTCACGCATTCTTCTGGTCGTCCTGCCAATATACTGTTTCCGGCAAGGACATTCCAGAAGATAAACCGCGTGCCGGGTGTTACAAGAAATAAAGTTGGAGATGGTGTAATTTTTGCCTGTTGTAGTCGAGGTGAAGGATTCGATTTTTCTTTTTTGACATTCTGCTGTGTTGACAGATCTGACACTTTCTGCACGGAAAAAAGCCTTTCAGATTACTAAATAGGCTCGGACGGGGTGGGGGGTCAGTTATGTTAGGTGCAATCGTATTGCGTAAAGACGGTACTCTCCTGAAAACCACTTCTGGATTGGTAGGTAAAACCCCAGCAAGGATAGGATCCGCTCTGAGTACCTCCCAATTTTTCTTCATTATATTGCGTATAGTTTTATGTTGAATAGAATATGGAGTAATGAACGGGCAGAACAGACTCTTTTTCAAGGTAGGTGGTCCTGAGAGCATGTCCTGTCTGTTCATGCGGGCAACATTATCAATCTCTGCATCTAAAGTGTCTGCCGTATAGCCCTTATCCAGAAACCTCTGTCTTAAAATTTGTGCTTTGTTTTGATAAGTATCAGTTTCAGTGCAGTTACGCCTAATTCTCATGAATTGGCTCCTAGGAATACCTGTCAGCCAACGTGGATGGTGGCAGCTGTCAGTAGGGATGTATCCATTCCTATCCGATGGTTTAAAGTACGCTTCAGTGATGCAGTAACCTCCCTTGTTTGATAATGGAGATGTCTAAGAAATTAACTCTGTCTGTACTGTATTCGTAAGTGAGATGGATATTCAAATTATTGTTGTTCATCGTGCCAAAGAAATTTACCAGGGCAGTTTCTTCTCCCCTCCCATAATAGGAGAATATCGTCTATATACCTCTTATAGAAGAGCAGTTCTGGCCATTCCATGGAATAGATGTTATCTTCCTCCCACCTGGCCACATGTCTACATGATTTTTTTCAGTATTTTTTTAGTATTTAAATATCCATTCACTATTATTATGTGCTATATATTTATATTTTTCATATGATTTTTTATAGGGTTTTTTTTATATGATCCATTGAGTATTATAGCCATATCGACTTAATATATTATTATTATTATTACTAGGGGTATATGGATATATTTTTTAAGACAATATGCTAAGTATTTACTGATCATCACCAGGATATAGTCTTTCCATTCACATATCTGTTTATTTATGTGTGGGGAGACTTTATGCCTGCCAATTGCTCGGGTTCATTTCAGATCCCCAATAAAATGGCGACCACCTTTTAATTGAAGCATAAGCTTCCCCCTTTTTATATGCACATTCCTATATACATTTTTTTCATACTTTTTATATTGGTACACCTGCTAGGGGTTTGTATCCATCACTACAGTGATCCTGTCATTGTCCATTTGCTAGGTGTGATACATACTGGCCATCAGTTCAGTATGATACCACCTACACTGTTCTTTAGCTTTAGCTGCGATCGTTCGGCTCGCGCATGCGCAGTTGAACGTCGGCAGCAAGCTTTCAAACCAATTAAATGGCCGCCGGAACTCTCGCGCATGCGCAGTGTACCGCGCGCCGAACATTTTTAGATGTTCACAATATCACCGATAACATGGCGCCCGCGCATGCGCACGAGGCCAAATAGCTGGCAAAATGGCACCCGCGCATGCACAATAGGCCGAAAAACGGCAGAATGGCGCCAGGACACTTTTTGGCGCAATTTTAGGCTACAAATAGCAGTAAGGAGACGTCAGGCATGCATGGCATCACCCCTACAGGAGACGTGTTATTACACGAAGCGCGTCTAGGAGGAGCCTCTGCACGCCTTGACGTTACGCCACCGGATCAGGAGGTCTGGTGGCCATCATTCATATTCACTGGTCAGTGTATTTAAAGAGCTCATTTACACCATACCTGTATAGGTACTCTAACCCTGTACGTTTACTGTTTTATCTTAATGATATATACTCAATAAATACTTTTTATAATACTACACTATGAGCGTTCTCATCTCTACTACCTGGCACTGAGCCTCCACATCTCAGCCCAGCATTCTAGGAGTCCACCCAGGCAGGACAATTTGGGAAATTGGTCCAGATCAACTT